CAGAATCCATCTCCACTAATTGGGAGGACAAAGATTTACTGTTTGCCCCAAATGAAATTCGTTCTTGTGAGGCACAGACACTTGTGGGAATTCTCAGCACGGGAGGTGACAAATTGAACGAAGCGCCTCTCAAACGGCAGTGAATGAGCATCCTGTAGGGAGGAAACACGAGTCACTAACGTTAGATCTTTCAATTTTAGGGTATTGAAATAGCATAACCACTCCCACTGGGAGGAAGAAAGAGGGGTCTTCACCAGGTGTAGTGATAGACAGAAGACCCCCGTGCTTGTGTGTTCCTCTGCGTGGTGGTCACTATGAGAGCACAGGTAACAGAAATAGGTGCAAAGAGACATTTTTTTGTGCTTTGTGGCCTTGGTTGCAGTCTACATACCTTATCTTATTTTTAGGCCACATAGAGAAGAGTCTTTCCTAAAGCTTGTTACATCCAATCAGAGAGAGAATCAGAGTCTCTCTCCAGGTGTGAGTCATTGTTTACTCTGCACCAACTGTAGCAGTTACCTTGGGCATTGCATTCCACAATACACACACCGCTATACTCCTGTCAGTTTCAAACATGACCTTGTTTGTCCATTACTTTTCAATACACAACCAATGACATGACAGTGTCCACTGTATAACCTGAAAACAACCCATAATGGAGGAGAAACTCAGTCTCAGTTTACTTCAGGATCATTGGCAGTGCCTTTTTGTGTTAAACTCAAACACATATATCACTGCACAAAACTGTTAAGTGGATAATATTAGTCTCTTTTCTCTGATTTCTTTCTCATCTTCCTCAATTCTTCAACCACGACCAACACCTTAGGTCACTGTTACAGAGAGTACGTCCCATTTACATTACTCACCCACCCACCTTTCACATTTACGGTCTCACACATTGTTTTGTGTAACAAATTTCTCAACACTCTCCTGCATGATGATGACAACCTATGCTACAATTTGCCCTGGCACTGTGCCATACTCCCGACTTGGCAGTGACCACAGTGGATTTCAAATCAGCTCCCGAATGCACAAACTCAGCAATCTTAACATCCAGATACAGTAGAAGCACAGGATACACCAAAAAGGGAGCATTTGGAATTTATTCAACTTGTAATAAAAGAAATTACAAGTTCCTTATTTCTTTCTGCAGAATCCTGATACCAGTCATATCTACATCCTCCTCCTATATAATTAATTGTTACTCAAGCATTACTCTCCTTGTCTATCTAGATATGTTTCTGGCTTCAACTCTGTCCCTGTAAGTCACTTTTAACCGGGACACACTGACCTCTAGTCTCAGTGGACATACTGGCATTTGCATGCGGAACTTTATTCGAGAAAATGCCTTCATTTAGAGTATACAGGAGTTCCAGGAGCAAAGAGAGGTTCAGAGCTGGCTCTGTGACAGTCCGGCTGAGAAATGGTCATAAATAGTGATGATGAATCACATCTGTGTGTAAATGAGCCAAACTGAGACACCTGGGTTGATTCCCAAACAGCAGGTTTCACCTTTTCAGCAGCATGGCTTTATGACATGTTGAGAGAAAACCTGTAAAACATTAAATGTTGAATTATACATTCATTTTACAGAGCACATTGTAAGTCTGGTTGCACAAACAGCTTCCCTTTCTTGTGCCCTTCACAAAGCCCTCCACGGGGCTTACTACATTACAAGTCCATCCATTACCTCTCCATTAGGAGTTAAAGTGGGAGGAATATGTGGCCTCATTGTCTGGTGGGATCAATAAGAATGTTTTTATAGCCTGTGCAATGTGACACTATCGATCCTGAGATCACTTGATGACCTTGATGTACAGTCAGTTCACATGAATGACCTTGGCAGATAGGCAGAATATTGAACAAAGACTTAATACATGTAAATTGTGTCTTTTTTTATCACAGCTATGAATGGGCAAGGGTATACTGATATAGGCCTTATAATGTCCACAAAGAGTTCTCCTTATCAGAGCTCGATGGTTAGCTAACAGTTTGAAGTTATACCACTGTTGAACTCTAATAAAAACATAATATGCAAAACACAAATAAGAATCAAACCAACACATTCAGTTAAAAACATAACAGACCCAAACTTTTACCAACAAACTGCAGTCATGTGGCAAGCAATGCTAATAACTAGCTAACAGCAATGCTAGGTAACAAGTAAGAGACTTGTTGCAACAAAATAAAAATACAGTAACTAAGTGTTTGCTTTACACTGTGTTTCATCACACATCTTTACAAAAATAGGTCTGAGAAAAAAGTGGTGTCATGGGGACTACCAACAACGCTATTTGGTGCCTAAAGCTGGTGAGCTAAATGCTAACACATGCTCATCCTAGTCAGTCACAACAACTCTGCAAGGTGTTTTTCAGTTTTCTCTGTACTGGGTCATTTATGTTCCCCTGACATTTTGGTCTCAGAACTGTACAATATCTCATTCAATTGTTAATAAGGAGTTAATAGGGAGATAAAGCTCCCCAAGCTAAAAAGGTTGCTAGCTGAAATTTAGATGACTCATTGTATTAAGAAAAAAACAGTGGCAGCGTGCACAACTCAAAATCCTGAGTAGGAAACTGTTGCGGGTGCACAGTCAAAGCTGAGTCAACAACGTAAAGGAGATAATATTTAAATGAAATAATATAATATTCATATTAAATACCGAGACTATTCGAGTGTGAGTGCTGGCATCTCCTTTACCTTGTTGACTCATTGTATCATAAACCAATATACACATTTTGCCATCTGAAAAGCCTCTTCAACCCTATAGATGTCTTTGTAACTAGACTTAGAGGCTTTGCAGTGCTTATTTTCATTAGCCTAATAGCAGTTTGAAGTAAAAAAAAAAAACTTTTCCCTCAACCTAATGCAACATTATCCACACTTACATCAACACAGTCTTTTGCCATTTTTAACACAGGGCTGTTTTAGTCTGAACTAATGCTGCAGCAGAACCAGAGGAAAGCATGTAGTGCTCAAATTTCCTTTATGATTATCCATTATAATCTTGTATGCACTGAAACACAATGCAGAACAGTCCTGAATGCAGCGTCAGTATCTGCAGTATCTGCAGTATCTGCAGACATACGCACATATCTCATCTGTGTTATATAATTACATTTATTGCGAGTCTTGGTGTGGTTTCACTTTGCAGCACTCTGCTGTAGTAATTGATTTGGGATTTGATGACTTCTAAGAATAAGTGCCAGCTTGCTGTAAAGTAAATGTGTGTCTTTCCCTCTGTTCTTCTCATATCTTTGTCCTCTTGAAGTTACTCTGTGTGTCCTTTGTATCACATTGATTCATAATATTGGATCACATTTCCTCTGACTTCTGGCTGGTGTGCTTTTGTATCCCTATCTCATGATTGGGGCAGTAAGTCAAATACTTGTGTGTGCAAAGTGAAGTCAAGGGTACCTGCTCCGCCCATTTTTGATGCTCCATCTGTTTCCAAATGGTGATTTTTTCTCTCCATTTATCTGACCAAGACTGTGTACCTTTTAGATATGTGTATACAGTTCTCAGCTCTTACCCATTATCTACTTTGACCCGTCCTCTTATAGATCATGAATCAGCACCATTTGTGTGACAAAGCAAAAACTGTTTAATAATCTGCTTCTTTAGACGTAAAATGAAATCTGGTTCTTCTATGTTTCATTAAATGCCTTCTGAGAAACATTTCTCTCCAAGAGGTAAGAACTTCTGTCTTCAGTGGATTGACAACCACCTGAGCTCCCTTTTGTGTTCTGCTGTTTCTGATCCTGCATTTCAGTCCATTTCTGCTTCATTTATACATGTCTTACTACTGTTTGTGTGCATGTGTCATTGCAGTTGCTTTATGTTTTGTTTTACATATTATTACGTTATATACAGTGTTACTGCTCTGCCATGTGGAACCCATTTGTTGCGTCCGTTCTCATGAAATCCCTTTGAATCTTCCTTTGTTTCGTATGAAGCTGCAGAGTAACACAGGAAGTGTCGCAGTTCATTCATTCATTCTCTGCCTGCCTTTTCGATTTTACGTACCCCCCTGTCATTTTAGACCCTGCCACGCCCTCCAGCCCTGCAGTAGCCCCACCTTTCAGCCACCTGACTCTTCCCTACCCACCTACTCACCCATTCGCATGTCCCTAATCAGCTCTTAGTATTTTTTCCAGCCCACTTTCACTTGTTCCCTGCCAGATTGTCTGTTGTGCTTTCTGTTTTTGCCTTTTGCCTGTTACTTTTGCATTTTGGTTGATCTCCCTGCCTGCTATCAACAGCTGCTTATTCCCTCACTACACCTACTGTTTGCCCTTGCATGCTTCTGCCTGCCGAGCCTTAATAAAGGTGGACTGTTTTGAACTTTTACTTGTGTCTCTGAGTCATGCAGTTGAGTCATACTTAGCCCAAGCTAATAATAAAGCTGTGATAGAAGGAACATGAAATGGTCATTTAAAGGATTACTCCCAAAAATCTACCTTTGAGTATCAAACACTTGACCCCTTTAGACTCAAAAGGTGGCCCTGAAAAGTTTGTCGTTATCTTCTTCATTGACAATTGCAGCAGAAGTCAGCTTGGGTTCACAGCAGTTACAATGGATTCAAATTGAGACATAAAATCTTCAAAGAAACATTTCAGTGTAATGCACTTGCAAGGTGTTGTTCCATATGTTTAGCGTGTTCTAAACAACTGTTGCTTTGCCTAAAATTACTAAATATGCTATTTCCAGCGGAGTTTCAGAGATATAACAGCTGATAGGACAGAAGCAGCATATTTGGCAATGCTATAGAGAAACTGTGTACCTGGAACATGTTGAACATACAGCTTTCTTGCATTTCAGTGAAGTCTTTCTTTCATTTCCCTTCAGAACTGCGTTTCTGCATCTCTCAGAGCAGACATCCCATCGATATCATCTAATTCTTGAAGGGTCTGCAGATTCGTAGCCACATCTTCTGTTAAATCCTGTTGTGTGTTTACCTCTCTATCTTCCTCTCCCCTGTCTTGTCTCTTTTCCCCAGTTGATCAAAGTATGTTTGAGAACTCCATTGCCCAGCAGCAGAGTCCCCAGATTTCCAGGCCAGGCCAGCCGTCGGCCCGACGCTCCCCAGCATCAGCTAATCCTAACCTGGGGTCCAGCTCCGTTGACTCTCCATCCTCCGGAGGTCAACAGAGGCTGAAAAATGCCATTAACCTGGGCAAGGCTGTCGGGGCAAAGGTTGGTACAACACAAACAGAAACTGAGCAGTTCTGCTGGTCCGAATGTACGTACGTCCTTTATTCTTATTATTATAATGTAGTCAGAATACAGAACTGGCTGCAAGTTTCATTGTGTTATTGTCACATCAATTGAGCTGATAAACATCTGACTGAAACATTTGTCTGCCTTCCTGCCTTCCTGCTTTCCTTTCTTCCTTCCTTCCTTTCTTCCTTCCTTCCTTCCTTCCTTCCAGGTGAATGACTTGTTAAGGCGAAAGGAGCCCAGCCACCTCGGGGACATTGGGGTCACTGAGGTCAACAAAAACGTTGGTGCCGTGTGGAGCTGCATGGACCAACTCAACCAGACTAACAGGTAGGAGGAAAGTGATTCAGTGTGTGTGTGTGAGTGCGTGTGTGTGTGTGCGTGCGTGCGTGCGTGCATGAACTTCTATGATACAGCTGCTGCTATTAAAACTCATACTGGTCATATTAGCACCAATACCACTGCCTGAGATGGTAACAGGACCATCAAAAAGCACTCACACAAGCTCAGTCTAAATGTAGCCTCATCTAAACTTAATCTTAATCTTAATTTAAACCCTAATCCTGAACCTAAAATCATCATAAATTAAACATTTACTCTCTTCTAATAGTTTTTTAGTGCTTTTATACTTTCAGGATGAATATATAAAAATCACTTTCCAAGGCTACACATTCATTTTAATGATAAAACCCCTGCAAGACATTATCTCATTGTAGGCAAAAATATTAAATTACCTTTCATAAGAGAAGTGTCTGTCAGTGTAAATTAGGCATCGGGTCAGAAAAGGTGAATAATTTAAAATTTTTCCTGTGAAATGTGGATTTAAATTAGTGATGACACATCAAAGGTTCCTGTGAGAGGTCTGCAATTGAATAAGACTGAATTTTTTAACTTCTTATATTCCTTTCCAGAAATGGAAATGCCTTTTTTTTTCTTTTTTTTTTCTTTTTTATTTTACATTCATAACTTGCTTACACACAGGCACACACACACACACACACACACACACACACACAAACACACTCAGTTTTGTGTGTGTGGATTTGTTCCAGAGGCATTGATCTGTTGTTTCTCCAACTGAAGATCAGTCAGGCAAAATCATTTTTCAGCAGCTCTGCTCCCATTTGTCTCCAATTACTGGACTGTGAATATATTTGGTTTAATTTACCAGTGATGATCTGTAAAGATTTTGACAGACCACCAACTGGTTTGAGCGGGTGGACCTGAGAGTTTTTTTGTTTTAGTAGTAACTGACTGACTCCCCATGGTTGAATCATGAATGCATGAGATGAGCTAGGGAGTGCACTAAAAACCAAAATGTTCAGCCGTTTTCTTCATTTGTCTCAATGGAAATAAGAAGTGGAATTTATCTCATGAGGTTTTATTTCCTCCTGTATTAAGATTGTAATTGATGTTCTTAATAGGCACATTAGCTTATTTTGTACAGATGAAGCTAGAAACATTAAAGTTCCTCTCCAGACTTTTTAAAATATTTAGATTTTTATTTAACATGGTTTTCCCATATAAAAATGTAAGTGAGGAGTCTGTTGAGACCAGAATCAGAGAATAGCAGACATATCAGAACGGTTAGCGTATTTAGCATCTTTTATTTGTTTATGTTGTTTGTTAGCTTGTAACTGGCAGTGGCTAACACAGTGTTAGCAGTTGTGCTAATGCTAACGCTGAGTCTCTGTACTGATGAGGTTTCAGATTTATTTAGCCCCGCCTCCTGTCCCCACAAGTTGACAGGATTGGTTCCTTAGGTTTGTGTCATTGGTTCACTGCAGCTCCAAGGTGGAAACACTCAGTCATGGCGTTGACTGATTATTTCAATCATATGTCTACTTTGATAAATAAATGCTCTTTATATCCTCACACATCACATCTGTGTTTATTGAAATACATTGTCTTTGTGTGCGTCTCTGTCAGCTCCGGTAAATGATCAGGCAACAATCATAATAAGTCCTTTTTTTTTTTTTATTCATCACCATGGGAAACAGTTACCACGGTAATTTTCTGTCTTTGTAGTGAACACCTTGAGAAATTAGTAATGTTTGTGTAAACACTTTGATTGCACACAGTGAAGAGCCATTTGCATGGAGCAAATCCACTCTGAATCAGCAGGAAACATTTAAATTAAACTGAATTTTTGACACAATTCATAATGAATCTCACTCCAACAATTCCTGACAGGTTATTATAGTTATTCTCCAAAAATCACTGTGGCCATCATCCAATTAGTTATCAGCTAAATGTGATGTGTTTAGTGATGTGAAGCTACCGAACCTGGCGTCCTTGTGTTAAGTGGTGGACACTGTTCAGTTACTCTTTAAGGAGACTTCCTGACTCTACATGAAATCTACATCAAAAGATCCATTTAGTCATTGCAGAGTAGAGGAAGCTGACTTCTCACCTGTCGTCTTAATGTCGGTGTTTCTGTTTGTTTGTAGCCTCTGCATCTTGCAAATATTACATTTGTTTTCTTCAGAAATGTAGCTCCACTCAGAATTATTATTCTTTGCATTTTCCTTATTCCCAAGACACATCGGTCTACTCTCTGTCTCTCTGTCTCTCTCTCTCTCTGGCTATAATAAAGGCAAAAATGCCTGAAAAAATAAGTAAAAAACAAAAAAAAGAAGAAATGTAGTGACATTAACAAAACATCTGTTACATCTAACATATGTTTTTATCCTCCCTGCCCAGTATGATGACAGCAATGTAAAGTGAAGTCATAACAGTTTGACAGGAGCAGTAATTCTGTTCCTTCACACTTGAAACAACTCACTGAAGTTGCATCATAATTTTTGTGGTTTTTTTTTTCTCTCAGTCTCTCTTTCGTCATCACCATAGATCATGTGTTTTGTCCGAGGCAGGGTTCTTGATTTTAACACAAACTGCAGCATTTGTGCAACTAAATGTTTTTAAAGTACTTTTACTGCCTCCGTGAACTTTGTGTCACAGCCTCTGCTGGTGCTCCAGCTGTTGATGGTGTTGGTAAAAAAGCCAAACTACAATAACTACTTCCTGTTGCTTGCCATCTTTTCCTCATGTCTCTCCCTTCACGCCAATGCAACTCTCCCGTGCCCCTCATAGGGGATCATACCTCACAGTTTGAAAACCTCTGGTCTAGTGAAACAGGTGGACATCAGTTGTGTTTGCCTCTAGCAAAACAGCAAATTCACAATTTAGTAGGTCACCCATTTTAGTATAAAACTTGGATCCATATATTAATACTAAAGGTCTTTATGGTACTTAATATTACCTGTGATGATTACTAACAACTTTTTCTGTCTCTGCCGTCTGTCTCTGTCTTTTCTCCATCATCCACCTCCCTGTTTTTTTCTCCTTATCATCCTCACATGTATTTACCTCCTTTCCTCTCCTCTCTTCCAGCCACATCTCCTCCTTCGACTCCTTCCCTCGGCTGGACCCACCACCCCCATCCGGGAAGAAGCGCCTCCCTCGAGCACTGAAGACCACCCAGGACATGATGATCTCCTCGGACCCAGTGGTCTCTTCTCCGGACACTCCAGACTCTTCCTCAATCCTCTCTTCCCCGGAAAAGACGCCCCTGATCGCGAAGGAGGAGCAGCAGCGGGGCGAGAAGGAGGAAGAGGGGTCGACGGATGTCACGTTGCCGCTGAGCGACGCAGAGAAGAAAGTGGCTGCTCAACCAGAGACGACGGGGAGCAACAGCAAGGTGGATGGAGAGATAGGTGGAGAAGATGACATGGAAGACAGAGGCACTGATGGAGACGTGGAGGAGCATCAGCCTCAGCTCCAGCTCTCTGTACCAGACCTCATCAACAAAGATCCCCCTCTGCTGGAGCCCAGAGCCAAACCCTGCAACATCTGGGAGAAGGCATCAGGGCCGGACTCCCGGCTTGCCTCCACCCCCTGCTCGGGGAAGACTCCCTGTCGCATCAGCCTGGGCGAGGAGGTCCTGGTGGGGAACGGCACCACGTGCAGTAAAGACACCGCAGGGAGCGCCGAAGACACAGAGCCCCACCCAGACCTGCTGTCCTTTGAGTAACGAGCAGAGCCAGGGTCCAGAAACCATTTCAGTATGATTCAAAAAGTTTGGAACTTTTTCTCTTAATTTCTACTCAAGAGGCTTCAAATGTCTGTGGCAGTAATTCAAACAGACTGTGGATCAAATATTCACTGCCACTTTTTAAATATATAACTCACCCTGCTCTGGGCTGTGCTGTAGGGAAAGGGAGCGAGTGGTTCTCGGAGCCAGAGCGAGGGCCCAATCTGTTGCTTTTTTAACTTTTCAGCAGCTTTTGACGAGTGTGGACGAGTTTAAAGGTCATGCTAGTAAAATCAGGCCCTCCAGCTTGGCTGATCTATGGTCAGTCAGACACTACAAGCTTCTTCTTAATGAATAAAAATGAGACGGACCAGCACTGGATGATGGATAAGAAGGAGAGAGAAGATGGGTTGAACTTGAGGATTCATTTTAGTGCAGTTAAAGTTCAGATTTTTTTATCACTTTAATAACACGTCATGTCTGCTTAAGTAAGGGCAGATAATGTAATAATGAATGTAATTAGTGTCATGAAATGTCCCTTTAAATGGGCTGCAAATGTCAAAGTACTGGTGAGCATAAAAAACTTCTAAGATATAAGTTATTAAGCAATTAATTACAAGACCATCACATTTTGAATCCATATAAAGGGACATTTTGTTACGTGTTAGTCATAAATTCATATTATACAAAAGCTGCTACAGTCAGAAACTGCAACTAATATGACAACCAGAATTACTGTAGATGACAGAATGAGAGGAAATTGTTTGAAAACAGAATGCAGGCTCAGGAAGGAGAAGAAGAAGAAGGAAACGAGTGAGAGAGGCTGAACGATTGTGGATGTGTTGGAGAAGGCGAGGTTTGGGGGAAGTTCACTTTGATTTCAGTCAGTACAGAATATCAAGCAGCCATTTCTGCCAGATTCTTGTCAGGACTGGAAGGCTTTTGACCCTTGGCTTTATCCATATTAAATCATCTCTTATGCTCTTTTGGTCCATTTGGAGTTGCAGCAACACCAACAGAGCTTGTCCCCTCCCACACTGACCTCTGGCACCCAGTGCAACCCTGAGAGTGACCTTTTAAAGCTGGAAATCTCACTGGCTGAACTGAAAGTGGATTTTTATCATCCCCCCTAAAAACCTGAGGGAGCGTCATGATGAGCGGATGGAGAAGCGGCATGTGGAGGGCGGGCAGGTGGAAAGTTGTTTTTGAGCAAAAGATAATTAGTTGTCATCAGAAAAAAAGATGAAAGAGGTGTGTTTTATTCAAGCAGATCGTTAAGTGACAGACCAAAGATGCAAATTAGTGGCTCAGTCAGACAGGTAATTTTTGTCACATTGTTTTAACAGAGCTGTCTGAGTGTGAAAAGAAGCAATAATTCACACAGAAGAGACTTTTCTCCTTTATTTTCACCTCGTCTAGGAATGAGAAGGTGAAAACCAAAGTCAAAGCTTTTTTAACATTTTAATATCGGTTCATATACTTGTTTTAAATCTCCTGACTTTTCTGACCCAGCAGAGAGAGACTGTGTCAGGTGTGTTCAGCAGGTTAAAGATCAGCTTGTGGATCAGGAGGAGCACGATCGAGCTGCAGTGGTTGTTTGAGCACAATCAAAGTGGAGATCAGTATTTTTCTAACACTATTATCTGTAGATCTGATCCGTGCGACTGGATTAAGATCCCAAATCCCAGACCTGAAAATGACTGGCAGGCGGCTTCCATAAATGACCACTGTGCAGGGATTTCCTGACCTCAGAAAATAGCACAAAAAAAAAAAAACTATTCCCAGAAGAGAGTGAAGCGGACACAGAGCCAGCTGTAGCTGTGGTCAGGTCATGCCCAGCAGAATGAGAGGAATGTGGAGCTGGACTCTGTCAGAGAAAAGAAGCCTTGTCTCTGTCTCCTGTCTCACTGACATAAAGATCCCCATTTATTTTAAAGCTGTCACTGATGTCTGGTGTCACCCACAAGACAAACCATTAAATCAGTTAAGCCAAATTACAAAAAATAATTTTCCCAATTTGTTTTATCTTGAACTCCACAGACTTTTTATGGACAGTTTTTCCTTTTTTGTCTGTTTTATTTTTAATCAGTTTGAAGTTCTTTGAAAAGAACTCTCTTTGTGGAAGCACTTGCTGCTGTTGAGTTTTTTCAAATGTGTTTTTTCGAGGATCACAAACAGAATTATATTCATTGTTTTGGGGTGGGAAGTTTTTTCGGACATCTCCAAAACAAAACAGTTTGCATGGCTGGATAACTTTTTGGGCAAATGGAAACAACAAATAAACCTATTGGACCTAATGTTATGAAAAGGAATGAGAGAATATATTTGACCTTTACTGAAATTGTCCAGATAGTTCACAAAGTGCAACACTGCTCATCAAAACACTTGAAAATGAGACCAAAACTTCAATCAGTCACAAAAATTGAAAACAGGACATAATTTTAAAAACCTTTCTTTTTATGTTTTTTATGCTTCAGTTGTGTTTGTGTTTTAAAATCTATCTAGAATATCACTGACTCCCCATGAAAACCTGTGTTCAAAGTATATTTTATTTCTCTATAAGTTTTGTGACTAAATGTGCACCAATCCAACTTAAAGTTTCATCAGGTCTGTGTGGGTGTGGTTTGATCACGTGATTGACAGTAGCCTAGCAACATTAGCGAACAAGCCACCGACTCTCATTACATTTCAATTTACATACATTTTTTTGTTTTAAGTTATTTTTTGGGGACCTTTTTATGCCTTTGCATTTGATAAGACAGTGAATATAGACAGGAAATGTGCAGGGGAATGAGCAAAGACTCCAACCAGACAGGAGTCGAACCCAGGACTCGCTGCTTAGGGCATTTGGCATGTGGTTTGCACTCTGATTGCCCCCCCTCATATATATGACATAAAGTATTCTCAGCTGAGCTCTGCTCACTTTAAACCAGTGAGAGAAGCTCAGAGAAACAAATACAGAAATCTCTCATGTGAAACAACCACAAGTGTCTGAACTTTAGCAGAAGATGTTGTGTTCATGTGTGACCCATCATTTACAATAATAAGCTAATTGAGATAATATGTTTTAATTTAAGGCAACACTAAGGTTTCTTTTCGGAGTTCAAACCAAACACACACACCATCAGACTGATGGCAGCTGCTTGAATTGATTCAGAAGGTGAAAGTAATAAGATGCTAAATGGCTTTAGACAGTCTGGAAAACATGTCATTGAAAAGCAGCTGAAGGCATTTTTTAAAAAAGAACAGCCAGAGCAGCTTTAGAAAGTTCTAATTTTACTTTATAAATACCACTTAACTACATTTCTGTTGTATTGTCTGATGAAGGAACAGCGGTGTATATTTTAGGGAAATATTCTGTCGCTTTTTTTTCTTTTTTTACAATATCTGTGAATATGCAAATTATCTCTTGCTCTAACAAATGAAGGAAAGTGATTTATTTTGATATTCAGGCATAGAATCTAGTCATGGCAACAATCTGTTCTGTAGCTGCCTCCGAATCTGATTAAAGAAAACATGATTTCTGCTTTCTATTTTTATGCTGTTCAATCTTGTTTTTGTTTTTCTCTGTGTAAAGCCAGTCAACATAATTTCAGCGATGATGATGATGATGATGATGATGATGATGATGATGATGAAGAATGAAGGAAGCTAAATGCTGCACATGAAGGTTTTTTTTAAGCAAACCTGGGACTTTTTTATTCATTGTATCTTCACACTGCTGCAAATTAAGTGAATGTTTTATGTGATGAAAATATGCTACAAAAATCAAAATGAATCAGTGATTATTACCTTATATTTTCCTATTGTATCTTTTATAAAGTGGGGATGTAATAACTCTTGTAATCTTTTAAACAAAAAAACTGGAAATAGACCTGATCGTGACCTTCTGGTTTTGTCTTGTGTGACTTTGTGACTTGTTTTCTCTCTGTAGAAAAAGCCTCTTTTCATTTATTCTGGGCATTTCCGGTCTTTTATGTCTTTTCCATCACCCCATTCCTGCCTCCCACTTCCTGTTTAGATGGAGCTGATGTCCCTGTCAGTTTTCTTTTTTTTTGTAAATCTGTGTCAGTCTCAGCATAGACCGGCCCTTGTGTGTGTCCTCCCTCTATTTGATAGAATGTCAAACATGGAGGGATGGCAGTGGCATGAATTCAGGAGCCAAAGTCGCTCTGATGTTTAATTCATCTGTGTTTGTCCCAATTCTGGGAAGTCCTAGTCCTCCTCTCGGCGTCTCCATGTGTCACTGGCCTCTTGTTTGTTTGCTTCATCAAGACACGTCGAAGCCCTTGAGGAATACGACAGGAGGAATCCATGGATGGAGACGACCGCTGGAAGAGGCGGTTTATTTACCTAACTTCCACATCGGTGGTGTAAACACCCAATCAGCTTAGACACACAGGTCTTGTCACAGTTCAATAATTCAAACATGATGCATTTATTCATTCTTTACAAAGGAATCTAGGCCTCCTGAATAATGAATCATCAAGTGTGCGGGACAGTTATACACCCTGTTTAAACACATTTCTTTATGGCATGTCATAATCTGACAGGAGAGAAGTGTTCAGCTGAATTAATTTTCAAGTTTTGCCGAGTAAACACAGTTCAGTGTTTCAGAACAAATCACCAAAACTAACAGTTTCCCATTTTAAGTCTTTGGTTGTTAAAGGAAACTCCAGTGATTCAGTATTGGATTTCTACAAACTTGAAAAGCTTGAAAGAGACAAATGAAAAAACAAAATCAAAGCAGAAGAGACATTCTGACTTTGAGTCCATAGTACAGGACACACTGGACATCTCAAAATGCAACATATTTCTTTGGGTCTTTCACCATGGGTTTCCATTAAAATTTGCGAATTTTAGCCATTATTTTCTCAAACTTTGAAAGCATCCCCCCTCCCTTCAGAATCCCAGAAGCAATTACTCAACTGTTTCCACAGGCTGAGCTTCATGTGTAAAATCAGTGAAGTATGTCTTTAAACAAGATAAGCAGCCCCTCAGCCACCATGGGCCCCAAAGGAATTTGAAAATCTCTTTGGTTTCATATTTTGAAACAGTGAAGCATTGACAGTCCCAGGTTAGCAAGCATAGAGATTAAAGAATAATTCATCTGTGAGTGCTGTAAACATACCGAGGTGTATCTTCAGGATTTAATATCCTATTTTTTTCATATTTTTGCATTTGCTTTTTTAAAGGTCTGGCTGGCAGACTTTGTGTTGTAGCCACTGAATTAAACTTGTTCGCTCGCGTCGCTACTGTTGATGAGCAGAGTGTTGCAGTCTGCCTGGGGCAGGCCTGCAAGAGAGCTGTCTCAGGTAGCAGTGCTGACCTGGGCTGGGAGCCTTGTTGCTTCCTGAAGAGCTGAGGGGGAAGAGGAGCTGCTGCTCCTGAACAAGTCAAGTAGAAAAGAGGAAGAACAAAGACGGGGATCTGGTAATGTTTGTTGACAACCACATGTCACACGTTTCCTTCGGGGAGGGTGTCCCCAGGTGTGAACAATGAGGAATTGTGGGGAAGTTAGTTATTTTGCCTGTAGAACAAAAGAACATGTGGTCTCCCAACAGTGTTGTATGATCTGCCACAACTTGTGCACAACATCACTGCTGGGTGGGGTCCTGACTACAGTTACTTGTGCTGTTGGATGTGGCCAAAGGAACCAGAGACCCTGATACTTTCAACCCACAGAGGTCAGTGCAACAAATCTTTTTCTCCTCACAACATCCAGTGTTGAGTTGCTGTTAACACTTGAACTGGTCCCGTCTGATACTTTGTGAGGCTCACATACATTGTTATCCTCGCTCCACAATGTGTTGTTATTTATGTCCAACTGTTTCTCAAGCAGAGATCTGAAGGAAAAATTAGCACAGCAATCAGACAGACCACCTCCAGAGCTGCTGCGAATGAGCTCTGAAAATGAATAACTAGATGTTCCCTTGTCATTGTAAAAAGTAGACCCCATACTGATTGTGAGGCTGTAATATCAATGCAATGTATATTTAATATGTTCTATTGTTTGACGAGGCAACCCCACCCCTACCCCACAGAGTTTCAGTAAAGTCTGCTCACCGAGGTCGAACTCTGTGAATCATCAGATGAGGAATTGAATGTCAAAGTGATGAAAAGATAGGAACAGCAGTGTCATGATTACAGCCAGGTCTCTCTAAATGTCACACGAGACGTGAGCTGTGCACGGGTAACGACTGGAAATACAGATGAGGATGTAAGAGGCAGATAAATGTTGAGAGAAAAAGGAATTCAAAGATAAAAGTCTAGCAACCGTGTCACAATGCAAATGACCTTTCTCAGTGTAGCTTTACCATGGAGCCTGTTTTCTTCTTGTGAGCTGGCTGGTGTTAGCTTGCTACAACTCATAAAAGAGGTAGTATGGTCAATCTGACATGAGTTGATTAAAACGCAGTTTATTAATGATGTAGACTGAATTACATTTCACAAAAAGTTTTTACAACTTTCATTTGACATATGGCGAATATTTACATTAATATTTCACCACAGAAACTACATAGATATTTGTTACTGTACTAATCTGCCAGGTGTTACTTAGGCTACCTAATGGAGCTAGGTTAGTTAACTGACAAAACTAATGCTAACATTAGTTTAGATTGAAGAGTAAAAGTAGTAATATTGACATATTTGTCCTGACACTATATCATAATGCTTACATCATTACGAAACAGCGATTAGATCCAGTCAACCATATTAACACGTTTAGACTTCAGTCTAAATTAAGTCAAATATTAGCAAGCTAATGTCAGTGTTTTGAGATTTTGTTAGCTTGAATTGTATCTGTTAGTTGTACGTATGGCCTTCCTGTCTAGCAGGTGTAATTTCGTAGCGACTAACTTGCCTCTATGAAACTACAAGTCTCTCTGGTGCAAACCTCTTTTAAGTCACCCAAACACCCCTCAGACTGTGCCCGGTGAGGTCAATTGGAAATTATGAATCAAAGGTAAGGCGACTGCTATTTTTCAATTTATTTACCGCATGCAGCTTCACTGTATTGTGTTGGCTAAGAGTTTACAGAGACGTGAGTTAGCTGTTAGCCCTCCAAAATGTTAGCTCACGTTTGAAAAAAAGAAAGATTGATACAGAATGTAGAGTTTTTAAAAAACATAGACTTCCAAGTAATTATTTACTGAAGTCAAAGGCAAAGCCTTGTGTTTAGTTAGCAGAAGAAATATCGCTGTGTTTAAAGATTTCAATTTGAATCGTCATTACCAGACTAGACTAAGCACGCAGACAAAAACAAGAACGTGACTGACGAGTAGCCGGCACGGACATTTGAAGCTTTGCTAGCTAAGCTGCAAAAGCAACAGGGACTTTTTTACCAAGCTTTACACATCCAGGGATGGAGCAGTCTAGACCAGCTTTGTGATTTCAAACAAAATCGCAAAAAACAGTAAGCCATTCTCTGATGGGGAGTTTATCAAAGAGTGTTTGGTGGGCTCTGCTGCGTTAATATGGCCTGAGAAGAAAGAAGCATTTGTGAATGTGCCCCTCTCCAGGGGAACCTAGACGAGAAGGATCGAGGACATCGCGGGAAATCTGGAGCTTCAGCTGCAGAACAAAGCGGACAATTTCGACTTCTGCTCCTTGGCTCTGGACGAGAGCTGTTACACATCTTTGTACGTGGGATAACTAAAGACTTTGAGATAACGGAGCAGCTGGCAGGTCAGTGAAAGGGACGACGACGAGGAGTGATATGTTCACGGAGGTAAATGCATGCTTGGACAAGCTGGGACTGAAATGGGACAAACTGGCAGGTGTTACAACCGATGGCTGTCCAAATGTTGGACTTTAGAAGCGGATTCAAGTGACTGATATGAACCCAGAACTCAAATTGGTATTTTTGTATTGTATTATACATCAGGAGGTGTTGTGTAAGTCAGTGCTCAGAATTGACCATGTTATTGATGTTGTAGTTAACCTCCTCAGGGCAAGAGCATTGAATCACACACAGTTTGTTGCACTTTTGGAGGAGCATGAGACTGGACATGGTGACATAGGCTACCACACAGCTGTAAGATGGCCCAGCCTGGGCAAAGTGTGATAAAGAGTAAGGGACCTGAGAGCAGAGATTCAAAAGTTTTGTGAGAAGAAAGGCAAGGACATCCCAGAGCTTTCAGATGCAGACTGAATGGCAGATCTTGCATTTGCTGTTGATGTGACTGCATTGATGAATGAACTAAATACCAAAATTCAAGGCAAGAGCCTATTTGCACATGAAATGTGCAGCCTGGTGAAGGCTCTCCTGAGAAAGTCGCAGTTTCTGTCAAGTCAACTGGAGGGTAACATTCTGACCCACACTGAAGGAAGCCACACCATCAGCTGAACACCTCCGCAGGTACTCATCCATGTTAGGGGCACTGCATGGTGAGTTTTCAAGGTGATTTGAAGACTTCAAAACAGTTGAGAGTGAAATGCACATGATTTCTTTTCCTTTCACTTGCAGTGTGGACAATGCTAATAATACACCTGCAGTCCGATACACTACTGGCAGAGCACCTAGAGTCAGTATCACTGCTGGATTTATTTCAACTTTGCACACATGAGGAGGCATGCTCAGAAGATGTTGGTTGTCCTTGGATCTACCTACATATGTGAACAAACATTCTCAGTGATGAAGTTTAACAAACCCAGATACAGATCTTCTCTCACTGACGATCACCTGTCAGCTGTCATTCGCTTATCAACCTCAGACGTTCAACCTGACTTCATTGCACTTGTTCAAGCCCAACACGGACTTGATTTCTCTCATTGAACAAGAAAAATAACTGAAAAACAGCAAATGAGGTAATTAGACTGCAAGAGCACTTTGTGTAAAGCTAATTTAATGCTGGTCTTTGAAATATAGCAAAAACATGCACATTCT